TTCTGCAATTCACATTACTTATCACATTTCGCTGCGTTCTTCATCGATGTGAGAGCCAAGAGATCCATTGTTGAAAGTTTTTCATTTTATTTTATATAAATTTTAAGTTTTATAGAGTAAGGTTTTAAATACAAAGAGGTACGAATACCTCAATTTTTTAATGATCCTTCTGCAGGTTCAATTACGGAAACCTTGTTACAACTTTTACTTTCTCTAAATGACCAAGTTGACCAACTTTTCAACAAATAGATACCTGTGAAGGTTTCTATGAGTCGATCCGAGGGTCTCACTAAGCCATTCAATCGGTAGTAGCGACGGGCGGTATGTACAAAGGGCAGGAACGTAATCAGCATGAGCTGATGACTCATGCTTACTAGGGATTCCTCGTTGAAGAGCAATAATTGCAATGCTCTATCCCCATCACGATGAAGTTTCAAAAGATTACTCATATCTTTTGGTAAAGGATATGTACTCGATGACTTCATCAGTGTAGCGTGCGTGCGGCCCAAAACATCTAAGGGCATCACAAACCTGTTATTGCCTCAAACTTCCATCGGCTAAACACCGATAGTCCCTCTAAGAAATCGTCGACCATTCAAAGAATAGCCTGACTATTTAGCAGATTAAGGTCTCGTTCGTTATCAGAATTAACCAGACAAATCACTCCACCAACTAAGAATGGCTATGCACCACCACTCATAGAATCAAGAAAGAGCTCTCAATCTGTCAATTTTTACTATGTTTGGACCTGGTGAGTTTTCCTGTGTTGAGTCAAATTAAGCCGCAGGCTCCACCCCTGGTGGTGCCCTTCCGTCAATTCCTTTAAGTTTCAGCCTTGCGACCATACTCCCCCCGGAACCCAAACACTTTGGTTTCCCGTAAGGCGCCGAACGAGTCAAGAAAAATTAACATCGTCCGATCCCTAGTCGGCATAGTTTATGGTTAAGACTACGACGGTATCTGATCGTCTTCGATCCCCTAACTTTCGTTCTTGATTAATGAAAACATCCTTGGCAAATGCTTTCGCAGAAGTTAGTCTTCAATAAATCCAAGAATTTCACCTCTGACAATTGAATACTAATGCCCCCAACTATCCCTATTAATCATTACGGTGATTCAGAAACCAACAAAACAGGACCACCGTCCTATTTTATTATTCCATGCTAATGTATTCAGACATAAGCCTGCTTTGAACACTCTAATTTTTTCAAGGTAAAGGTCCTGGTTTCCCACCACGTTAAATTAATAACATGATGGTTCCCCAGAAGGTAGAAATTCTACACGCCAGTACAGACAAAGCCCGACCAACGGTAGAACCCCGAAATTCAACTACGAGCTTTTTAACTGCAACAACTTTAATATACGCTATTGGAGCTGGAATTACCGCGGCTGCTGGCACCAGACTTGCCCTCCAATTGTTCCTCGTTAAGGGATTTAAATTGTACTCATTCCAATTACAAGACCCGAAAGAGCCCTGTATTGTTATTTATTGTCACTACCTCCCCGTGTCGGGATTGGGTAATTTGCGCGCCTGCTGCCT